TTTTAAAAAATATCAAGAACCACGAAATTTTCAACACAAGATAATTTTTCTTCATGCAGTAGATTAACTCTTGATAAAAGATAATTTATTTCAAGATCACTGAATACCTTGTGGTAAGGGGAGCAGTTTTTTCAGTGTATTTATCCGCTAGCAAACTACGATTTTTGACATTTCAAATGGGATTATTTATACATGAGTGGAATTGCCGACAAAATTTTTTCTCTTGTGATATTATATATGAAAATAACGATGAAAAATCGTCAGCTGGTAATCACAGTTCGAAATCGAGTTTTCCGGCGAAATATTCTGTGCACATTTCGAACAGGGGGCAGGCATTAAAACCTCTTATATTCTCATCAGCTAACTGGCCACATCCATCCCTCAAAATGCCAGACAAAAAAAAAAATGACTCCATAGTACAGGCCCTAGCTCAGGGTCTATTATCTAAACAAGAATACAACAGGGTAATGCAGAAAAATGGATCGTATGGGACCTCCACATAAAATTTTAGCTCTTTCTGAACTTTACCAAGTGAATTTTGAGATTTATAGACAATCTGGGAATGATGATTTGGAAAACATTTTGTCTTCATCCCCTATTTGCATAAATAAAGCAAATCATGAAAACTCAATAAATTTACTTTTTTCTGGTAATCCTGGTTCCGGACATTACGACCTTATTATTTCTCCTGAAAAAAAGTTTGAAAAATAAAAATGGTCTTAAAATTCACCACTCAAGAATACATAGAAGCACTAGCCAAAGCCAAGCCAGCCAAAAATCTACTTCAATTATTTTTTCTCAACAAAAAATCTTATCAGCTGATCATATTGGGGAAGAAACTCTGAACAATGCATTATGCACTATGACATCTTCAATTCCAATTTTATGTCGTATTCCAAAAGGAGCTAGAAATACAATTTCGTCAGAATATTGTATTTTAGTGGACAAGGTAGCTAAAGAAAACTCTCTCAGGGCTTGGATACTTTTTTAAATTTTTCCCTATGCCTGTTTGTGTCTGCCAAGAAACGGCACAAGGAATCCCTAACGTCAGATGTCAAAGAATTTTTTTTAAAATGGACAAACAACAAAAAAAAAATCTGAAAGAGTTTATAGATATTTATACATCTTCAACAGTTATTAGAATAGAGAAAAAATGAAATTTACAAGAATAATAACTCACCAAAAAAAGTAGAATCTAAAATTTTTGAAGGCAATATCCAAGGAGCAGTAAGCCTGTTATGCCCCGAAAAATCAAGAAATTTGGCCCCAAAAAGTCAAGAATTTTTTTCAAAACTACAAGAAAAACACCCCAGAACCTACTCAATTATCCCCATTTTCAAAAGAAAGGCAGGCAAATACCACCAAATAATATTAACTTTTCAAGTTCCGACGTCAAAAAGGCAATTTTCTAATTTATCAGCCGGCGGCATGGCTTCCTTTAAGCCTCAACACCTCAAAGATATGGTATCAGAGAAGCTGAGTGCTACATCTTCTCTTTATTCAGCACTGGCCAATCTCACCACGAGAATTCTTCAAGACCCGTTACCTCCAGGAATCAAACCAGTTTTTTTTGGAACCTCCCTATGCGCTTTAAATAAGAAAGATGGTGGAATCCGACCGATTACAGTAGGATGCTGCTTACGTCGGCTTCTTTCCAAAATTATTTGTTATAGCATTTCTGAAAAGGTTGGCTATCACTAATAGCTCGTCGTTTTGTTTCAATTTCACATAGCTCGCCAGATTTTTTTCTAAAAATTGATTTTTTCAATGCTGTTAATATGATTTTCAGACCCTGTTTTCTTTCTGAAGTTTATAAAATTATTCCAGAATATATTTTTTTTAATTACCGAATGCTACAGTAAACTCTCTTTTTTATCTTTTCATGAAAACATTATTCTTTCTCAAAGAGTCGTTCAGCAAGGAGGACCTCTTGGTGCTGTTCTTTTTTCCCTTGCTTTGCATAATCTCATATCCTCACTCAAATCAAAACTTAATCTTTGGTATCTTGATGATGGCACTATCTTTGATGATTGGGAAACGGTTTTGCAGGATTTTCAGAAAATAATTTCTTTTTCAGAAAAAATTGGTCTAACTGTAAACTTTAGAAAATGCGAACTGTGTATTCTTTCGGAAACGAACGAGGATTTATCTAATCAAATGAACCATTTCAAAAGCATCTCCCCTGGTATTAAAATTATTCAAAAGGAGAATCTATGTCCCCTTTTTGATGATGGCTTAGCCCCAGTTTTAATGTATTTTTTTTTTTTAATTTTTATGTCAAAACCTTGAAAAAGCAAGTTCTCACATTTCTTCCTATATTTAAAAAAATTCTCTGTCAATTCCTAAAATGATCTATTTACTCCGCTGTTATCCTTGTTGGAGAAAACCCGATATTTCGAAAAAATATGATTTAATTTTAAAAGAAGCTGCTGAAAACATAACAAATTGTGAATTTTTTGAAGAATCGTGGCAAATCTGTAATTACCCGTCAAATTAGGAGGTCTAGGGCCTAGGCATTCGAGATATTTCCACATTATGCTTTTCAACATTCATTTCTTCAAATAAATTTATTTCACCTTTCCTTTCCAAAATTTTCCCTTTTGACATTCTAGACAGGCAAGATTTTGCCCTCAACAAACCCCTACTCTCTTGGTCCTCCTTATGTGATAAAGAAATTACCAACAAAAATTTATTAACTCAGAAACAACTAGACTTTATGTTCTTTTTTTATTGAAAAAATTATATCACTTAATAAAAATCCTTTGGATTGTGCACGATTATTGGCTAACAGGGAAGAGGAGAGTGGAGCTTGTATAATAATTTGGGTCTTCACGGACTATATTGTCGCAAGAGCGCAGGAAGGTGGTCTCGACACACCATGCTCAATGATATTTTAAAAAAAGCTTTCGCTTCAGCAGAAATAAATACAACTTTGGAACCTGTTGGAATTCACAGAGCTGATAGAAGGCGAGCTGATGGGTTGACTTCGGTTCCTTGGATGGGCGAAAAACAACTTGCCTGGGATGCTACTTGTAGCGATACTTTGGCTTCTTCATATGTAAATTTTACCAGTATAAAATCAGGGAAAGCAGCTAGAATTTCGAAAAAAAAAAAAAACAATAAATAAAAGGATATTTTAAATAAATATTATTTTGTACCTTTTTGTGTGGAGACTTTTGGACCATGGGGATCGGAATCAAAAAAATTAATAAAAAAATTAGGTAAACGAATTCAGACTTTTGTTAAAGTCTGATTTTAAGAAATTCATGTCTGGTTATAGTGGTTAGTTACACTATAACCAGACATGAATTTCTTAAAATCTAGTTAGCGAAACTATTTTTGTGGGTTGCTTTTGCCGCTCAGGGTTTGCCTGAATGAAATAAAATTGGTTCTCACACCAAATTTTCTGCCAACTACTATAAAACACACAATACGCAGTAGTATTTAAAACTATATTTTTTTTTTTTCATTGGATGTCACTTATTTTATTCTGTTTTTGATTATACCTATTGGTCACATTAATAATCTTGTCGAAAAAAAATTCAAATAAACACCATATTGACATTATTGAAGAAAAAGAAATTATGGCTGTTTTGAAAGTGTCTTGAACTTTATTTTGAATTTGGTATTGGTATCAAAAATGTATTTCACCAAAAAAAATTATCAATAGTAATATAACTAGTGCAATGGAAATTATTGATAATTTTTGGGAAATTTGCCCGAATGCATTTTCAGTTGAAAAAGAGCACGAGTACACGAAGTGCACGAGTGCCTTTTTCAGTTAAAAACGCATGAGTGCAAATTTGTCGAAAATTATAAATATATTTCCATTGCACGAGTTGTATTTAATGAGAGAATTTCATTAATCAAAAATTTAAATTTTTTGTCAAAAAATGTCAAAACACCAGTTTTCGCACCAGTTACTATGCAATAGGCTCGTTCAGTGAGGTTCCATTAACCACGTTTTTTGATATTTTTATGGAGTATTACTCACATATAGCACACAAAAAAAAATTCAGCGCAATTGGATAAATATTAAAAAAGTTATGCGGCTTTGAATAATAAAACATTATGCCTCAGAAATTCATCGCTTAGAGATGGTATGACGTCATCTCTCAAGTCAAGACGGGCTAAAGGCCGTCACACGACCAACTTGAGAGATGCAGTGACGTCACCGCGTGTTTCGAAATTTCCAAACTTGGAGCTTTTTGATAATTTATTTAAATATGAACAAGGGCTCGGAAAATTATGAAATTTTGCACAACTGCTAAACTCAATACGCTCTTTTAGAATATGTAATAAAAAAAATATGCTGAACGAGCCTATTATCTGATAATTTGCACTAGTGCAAATTATCGCGTAATTGCAATCTGATTGGTTCAAATCAACAATGTCATGTCATGTCAGTTCATTGTTGGAATACCAGTTTTGACAGATGTATGAAATTCTCAAATCAAATTTAAATACCTAGCCTACTAAACAAAAAATGAATTATGGATTTAAATGTAAACTGTAAACATTTAGCAGCAATGGGTTACGAGTCGCGTCGCCGGCGCCGTTGCCAAGTTGTGTAGCAATAAAGTAGGCTGCCGCACATCGAGGGACATTACTTTAGTTGCCGACTGTACATAGCATTTACAGTTGCAACATTACTTTTTTATTGCAGTAAAGTTGCGAACCCAATATATTTGTAATAAAAATGCAATATTGCAGTAAACTTACTAATAAATTGCAAGTAACCCTAAGGTATATTTGACTTTGTAACCTTACACTCGTAAGTTTGCTGAAGTTTTGATCTAATATTCCAGTAATATTGCTGAAAGGTTATCATTTATAAACCTTGCATTTGTAATATTACCCTAAGGTTGTTTCAGTACTTGCCGCAATACTGCGTCAACATTACAGTAAACTTCAATATAACCTTACAAGTTTGCAGTGTAATGTTACCTCATTATTACTGTAATATTATTTTGTTCAGTGGGTAGTTACAAAAAAGCTACCTTATAAATTGCACTGCAATTAGGAGAAGTACAAACAGTCACAGGCTGTGACAATTCCATGGCTTTGATATCAATTACTGGCATGTGCAATTTCTGTTTCAGTTGTTCCAAAGATTGATTCTCTACCAAAAGCTGTTTGGTGTGTTGGTCCAGCTCATAAATATTGTCCCCAATCAATTGTACAATTTCAGCCAAGGGTTGAGACAATTGTAAAACCATCTTTCGGGCATGGTTGATGCTAATGGTTTTCTTTGGATCATGAGGTTTTAGTGCGACGATATAAGATAATAGCCTAGAATTAGGGCAATAATTATAATTGTGTAAGCGACAATTTAGTTTTTTGCAGTTACCTGTAAACTTCTGTATAAGAATATTTCCAGCTTTCAATATTCGCTTCCAAAATCCCTTCTCTAAATTCCACATTTTCTTTTATGGATGCCAAGAATCTGAATGCTTCATTGTCAAAACAGAAAACGTTATTTTTACTCAACGGCAAATGAACATTGTTCACATCTTTGATTTTCCTTACTAACACTTCCAAAGACGTATATGTTTCTCCGGGTGTGTAATTTTGGCCTCTCGTGTTGGTAAACAAGAACGAAATATTTTCAGTGGCAGATTTTTCCAAACGTGATAAAATTTGCGTAACGCAGTAGTTTAAAAACACATCCAAGCGGGTATTAGTTGGCTTGAGAAGCAAGCAGATGGCGTGCACTTTTTCTAATCTCCCAAGATAATTTAGCACATAATCGCAATTCTTATTATCCTGATCAATGCCCCTTGGATCGCCCATTCCCGGCGTATCAATCAATCTGATCATATAAGGTACATTTTCAATATAAACGTAAAATACGTATGTTTTAACGTCTTGGGTGGCAGCTGCACCATCGGCTAAATATTCATTGGCATCATTAGCTCCAATTTCGATAAGATGTTTTTTGAAATCCCTAAAAGAGTTTTGACGTATTATTTATTAAATTTAAGATAGAATTATAATAAAAAAAAATAAAAAAAAAATAATAAAACTAAGAAAAATTGAAAAACATTTCAACATCACTTTTTTTTTCTTGCTTAGGTCAGTTAATCCCCAAATTTGTTATTTAATTAAAATAAAATGCAGCCAGTTTTATGGCAGTGTAATATGATTATTAGGTATAGGATCATATCATTCAAACACAAGCACAGTGAAACCTCACATCTTATCTGTATTATAAATGGAAAAATATTATCATTTCAGCAATTCCAGGAAATGTAATATCTTGCCATAGAGACAACCCATGAATTAAACTAGTCAAGGTCAGATAGGGGACTTGTATAATAATAATATCTTTTGGGCCAAAAAATATAAATAAAATATAGGCATAGGTCCTCATGCATAATAAGCAGAGACAACTGATGCAAATAAATAACTATTCTACAAACAATACGAGTTTTTAAGCTTGTTGAATTGACACTTCATTGATTTCCGTATGAACAACTTTTGCAGCATTGTAGAGTATTAATTTTTATTACAGTTTAGTCATTTGAATGCATCAGTTTTATTGCCTATAGAAAAAATAGTAGTGAGTAGGTTCCCATATGGTAATATCATAAATTTTTTGTATTGGCTGGAGTAACTTACTTATCAAAAATATTGAATCGAGCCTGGATCAGAACGCTCAAATTATTTCTTTGCACTGCCTCAAAATTTTCGTGTTTCATATAATTGGCGAATGAATTAATAAAAGTTGACTTCCCAACACCAGATTCTCCAAGAAGTAAGATATTAATTTCCTTTGGTGTATCAGTATTGGGATCCCACATTTCATGTTCAACCGCTTTAGGTTCTATTGGTAATTTTGGTGAAGGACTATTATTCAGGAATTGATGGCGATCCTTTCGAGTCCTACGCTTCTGATTGCTATCAGGGGCAGGTTTGGCTGGTGGTGTGATTTTTCTTGGAATCTCGACGCATGTTTCAGGGCACGGTAAAGCCTTGAGCTTTTTGAATCCATCGCTTATAGCGTCAACGTCAACATCACTATCTGTATACTCGCCGCTTTCGCTCATTTTCTGAAATTATATATTTTTTTAATGTAGGCATTAGATAATACGAATAGTTTATGTATATTAGAAATAACTGTAAACTTACAATACTAGCTTCACTATATGAAGAATCCGAAGCAAAATCAGTCATTTTCTAAAAAAAAAAAAATACAACATATTTGCTGTTCAGGAATTTTGTACCGCGCTGTCCTACCTGACTAATGAAATTGAATACAATTATAAAAGTAATCAATAGCCTATACAAATATGTAAGTATATGTGAGAAATAAAGCAAATATTTTGCAACAAACACTTTATTCCTAATTATCGCTAAATACAATCACGATTATAACTCTTTTTTTTTTTTTTACGGATATGCGCACTCGCAAGGAAATGTCCTATCACGCTCGAGAAGCGGCAAGTGCGCGGAAATGTCGGTGTATGTTGGTCTTGAAACGGTTCAGGTTGTAACCTGCAGGGAAAACCGTCGCAGGGAGTTTATTCCACAGCGATGCTGTTCTCCAGAGATATGAATTCTGATATAATGAGGTTCTTGGTGCCTCTAGTTTGACAGTAAATTCATGGTTACCGTCTGTTTGACGGGTTCGCCTGGTAGGTGCTACTCTCGGTGGAATCATACGTGCCAACTCTTCAGAGCATTTTCCGTGATAGTACCTGTAGAAGAGAGATAAATCGCCCACAGATCTGCGATGTTCGAGACCATCCAAGTTACGAGTAAGTGCGGGGTCATTGATCAGCTTGATAGCTCGTTTTTGCACGGTATTCAAAAGCATTAAGGTATGTTTGGGTGCTGCACTCCATATATGTGAGCAGTACTCCATAGTTGGTCGAATCTGGGCTTTGTAGAGTGTCAGCAATTGGCTTGGTGTGTACAGATGTCTTGTACGAAATAGCACCCCAGCTTTTGGGAGGCCTTTTTAGCAATATATGCCCCGTGACTGTGCCAAGACATGTTGGTCTCTGCAGTAACCCCCAAGATGTTCAACTGACTCTGTAATGTGACAGCACTTCCAGATAGCGTGATGTTTGGCTCACCGGTGCTGGTCTTTTTTGAAAACAGAGCTGCTTGGGTTTTTTGCGCGTTGAACTGTACAAGGTTTTTGTTACCCCAGTCCTCTATTATCTCCAGGTCGTTATTTATCTGCGATATTTGAGTTAGTCTAAGATGATGGAATTCACGTGCGGAAAGACCTGTGGGTGGTATGAGTGAGGAGACTACATTGCCATCGTCTGCAAAGCAATAAAGTGGATTTACTGTTTTATCTATGAGGTCATTTATGTAAATCAGGAAAAGAGTTGGCGAAAGGATTGCTCCCTGTGGCACACCAGCATTTATTTGGTAAGAGTTGGAGTTCTGGCCATCCAGTGCAACATAAATGGATCTGTCCTTTAGGTAACTTTCAAACCAAGTGCAAAGTTTCGGCGATAATCCCATTGCTTTGAGCTTGTTGAGCAGATTTTCATGCCAAACTTTGTCGAATGCTTTAGATATATCTAAGGCAATTGTTCTTGTTTCTCCCCGCAACTCAATCGCTTTTTGCCATAAGTGAGTGACGTATGTAAGTAAATCGCCAGTTGACCTATATTTTCGAAATCCGTATTGCTTATCGTTGATAATTTTGTACTTTTCCAAGTACTTGGTTAGGTGATTGTTCACAACTCTTTCCATTACTTTTGATATCACCGGAAGTAGAGCAATTGGTCTATAGTTTAACGGATCTGTCTTTTTTCCTTTCTTTGGAATGGGTTGTACTGCGGCAGACTTCCATGATGATGGATATACTCCTTGCCTGTAAGACAAATTGAATAATTTTGCGAAAGTTGGGGTGAGTTCGTTGGCGCAATTTTTGAGTACTATTGCGGGAATGCCATCTGGACCCATTGCTTTGTTTGTATCCAGCTTTTTTAGGGATTTTCGTATTTCTCTGTGCCAAAAGGGTACCTCTGGCATACTATGGGAAACTCTTTCAATGAACGGTGGAGTTTTTCCGTTTGGCACTGTTAGGTTGGAGTTGGAGGAAAACATTTGTGCAAGCATATTGGTTTTTTCCTCTGATGTTGTGGCTAAGTGATTATTTTTATCTGTAAGTGGTGGTATGGATGACTTGGTGAAGTTAGATCCAACAGCTTTTGCAAGAGACCAAAAAGACCTAGAACTACTTGGACAATTCAGCAACCTGTTTTTTATTCTTTGATTGTATGTTTCTTTAGCGGAGTCAATAGTAATTTTGCAACTATTTCTGGCTTCTATACATTCTGTATGGTTTTGAGCGGTTTGTTGTCGTTTCCAAAGGTTATATGCTCTGTGGTTTTTCTGTACAGCCGTTTGACACTGGCTGTTGAACCAAGGTTTTGCATTAGCTCTACGTTTAGTTGTATGTGGGATATATGCGTCCATTCCAGATAAGATTACTTGTGTTATTTCATTACAGCAAATAGTGGGATCAGCTGTTTTAAAGCAAACCTCTTGCCATGGAAAATCCAGGTAATACTGTTTTAGGTTATTCCATTTTGCCGATTTATAGTGCCACATTTTACGAGGAAGTGGTTGTAGGCTTGGTGGGATGAGCATTTCGCACTTTGTTATTATAAGTTTATGATCGGACTCTTATAAGGCAATCAATGCGCTCCTTGAAAGCTCTCGAACGCAAGTGTCAATAATTTAACAAAGGAAACCCTCAAAAAGAAAGTATATCAACTATGACTAATGCCGGTTTTCCACTAAACGAACTGTTGGGTTTGTGTTTTGTCTATGTTTTAAGACAAAAACAAAACTGAAACAAACACTAAATTCTTGTTTTTGTTTCCATGAAGCGGACTACGTTTTGTTTTCTCGAGAGGGACCCGTAAAACCAAGCTCCAACTATCGCAAAACACGCTAGTCTTGAAAATGTTTGGGAAAAATTTGAATTTGGATTTTGTTTTTGTTTTGTCCGTTTGGTGGAAAACCGCCACAAGAGCAAAGATATTTACTAATATTTTTATGGCTATCCTGAAACTAAGTAGGTAATAAATCGGCCTGGGGTACCAAAACACCCCAAAGGCGCCAAATTCGTCTAGCAGCGGTGTCAAATCGTCGACTTCATGAAAGTGGTTGCTCAATGCTCACATATACATATAGGTACGGAGGAACAAAAGAAAAATATTTTAAAATGTTTGTATTTAAAAAAAGACAAGCCAAAAGCAAACCAGGGGCTCGTGGAAGTACAACTTGTTGATATTTAGAGTAGGAAACGGGTAATTGTCTATACAGGGAGTCTCACGCTGGATGGCGTGTTACACGTTTATGGAGAACTAAAAATCGGATCATTTTGAAAATTTGGCAACCGGGATAAATGACCATAATCTACACTTTAAAAATATTTTTGTTTATAAGGTGTTGCCGCTTCTAATCTCAACCAGTGGTAACATCGCCATTTTAAATAGAACACCCTGTATGTGATTGCATATTTGGATTCTACGTAAAATTCTGAGTAGATTTCATGTGATATACCCTATACCTAGGCTCAACTGTTTTGGAAATATTGACAGTTGAAAATTGACTTTTTGCAACTTTGACAGGCTGTATAACCTAAACGGGTAATTTTAGAGGAAAACCGATTGTACAGGGTGCTGCAATTTGGAGTGTTTTAACAGGAAAAACATACTTCCAGACCAGATAGAGGAAAATTGACTTAGATGTCATAATAATAATAATAATAATAATAATAAATTTATTCAAACACAATTACAATCAACAACTGTTTTAACTAACATACACAAATAATATTACTTCTACATCTACTTAGCGGCACCTAAGTGAGCAAATCACCTGTATGTGCCCGATATGTTTCCAGCTTACTGGTAATTGAATAGTTAAAGCATGAAACATAAAATAAGAGAAAGAAAAACAACAATTGTTATAATTGTTGTGCTAACTACTTACGCCTACCCCAAAGCCCCCCCACCCCGGTACCCCATCAACATTTTCCAATTCCATGAATTTACAACAATATTTTTATTTCACTTTCAAAGTACATACCTTATATCTAATCAAGGATAGCCATAAAACTATCACTATTTTTAACAATATATATTTTACATTTTTTATTAAACAATTTTATTCTAGATAGGTTCTTTATTTCCGTTGGTAACAAGTTATAAACTTTTGGTGCCAAATAATCTATAAATTTCAAGTTTAAAGTCTTGCTATTCATTGGTATCATCAGGTGTTTATTTACATTTGATCTAGTCTGGTGGCCATGTGCAATAAATTTTTTCATGGTTCTATTTTTAAATGTAAATAGACAAATGGAATGTATATATAGACATCTAATATTGCATATTGTCGCATCATACAGCAAATTGGTTGGGAAAGATCTTTTTTTTTTAAAGATGACCTTTAGAATGTAATTTTGTATTGTCATGAGAGGAAGTAGATTGCTCTTGTATGTGCCCCCCCAAATTATTAGTCCATATCGGAGCAAGGATTCAACCAGTGATTTATAAATCATTAATATTAGTTTTGAGGATAGGAATTCTCTTAAAATGTAGAATTTATAAATAAGCGTGCGGATTTTTTTAGTAAGGTACGATACATGCCCATTCCATTTGAGATGCTGGTCAATTATGAGACCAAGATATTTTATTTCCGATACTTCCGCTATCGTTGTATTGCTTTCACTGTTAGTTGTGATGTGATTAAATGCTGGTCTATTTGCGCGGGTCAAGGAAAATGTCATATATTTGGTTTTTGTTAGGTTTAGTGACAGTTTATAAGAGTCCAACCAGTTTTTGACTGCGTTGAAGCCATCAACCAATTTATTCTTAACTTCCTCCCATGTATCCCCTTCAAATAACAAAACAGTATCGTCTGCATAAGAAATCATTTTCCCATGAATATTAAGTTTCAGCAATGAATTAATATATGTTATGAAAAGGATCGGCCCCAGGATTGTTCCTTGGGGAACCCCAATTTTTATGTTCATCGGGCACTAAGTGTTGAATTTATTTTAAGAAATTGTTGTCTATCTGAAAGATAGCTTTCAAAAAGGCTCAGTGCAATGCCCCTAACTCCATATTTTTCCAATACGTTCAGTAATTTTTGGTGAGGCACCGTATCGAAGGCTTTGGCCAGGTCTATAAAAACTGCTA